CCTATTATGAAGTGTGGGGACTCTGTTGACTCCTTGATCTCTGCCATTTATCCAAATCTCAATGTTATTGACTGTGCAGCAGATAATGTTGATTTATGGTTTTCAGAGCGCACTATACTCTGCCCACGAAATGATACTGTTGATGAAACCAATCTCATGTGTTTAAATACATTGAGTGGCAATATCAATACTTATCATAGTGCAGACAAGGCTGTCATAGATGAAGCAGCAGATGGGGATTCTCAGTATCCTGAGGAATTCCTTCACAATATCAATGGTTCTGGCCTGCCACTGTCACAACTACAGTTAAAGATTGGTGCACCAATAATGGTTCTTAGGAATCTTGATCCATCAGCTGGAGTTTGTAATGGAACCCGTGCAATCCTTACCTGATGTACAGCAAGAGTACTAGAGGCTAGAATACTGGGCGGAGATAATGCAGGCCAGATTATATTGATTCCACGTATTAAACTCAGCCCATCCAATCTTGATTTACCTTTTGTCTTTCAAAGACGCCAGTTTCCTGTGAGGTTAGCATTTGCAATGTCCATCAATAAGTCTCAAGGGCAATCAGTTAAAACAGTTGGGTTGAACCTTCAATCCCCAGTATTTACTCATGGTCAACTCTATGTTGCTCTTTCTCGCTCTACAACAAAGCAAGGAGTCAAAACAATTTTTCCTGAAGGTATGTTATATACTTATAAGTTTGTGTTTTATTTACTCAGAGCAATCTACAGGAAATACAGAGTGCATAACACAGAACATTGTCTATCCTGAGGTTTTGCTTGATTAGAGTTTAGTGCTGTTAAATTATATTGTATATTTGAATAATGTATTGGCTCAATACAATCAATATTATATGTGTTGTTAAAAGTCACTGTCCCCTGCCCATGCCTTCGGCACGGGTCAAGCAAAGCTTGTTACTTCATGAAGGAATTCCGACGTGAAGCAATTATTCATTATCTCGTTTTATCCTTATCGGATTCACACTATTCCTTTTATATCCCTTCCTTTGTTCTTTACTTACGAGCTAACCCATTCGGGCATGGCATTGCTTCGCGATCCTGACTTACCTTTAGTATAAATCTATGGTATCAAATAGGTAGTTCCTTAGTTTAAATATCAACCTTGATAGCACTTCGATAGTGATACCAATTAATCGCTTATCCATATCATTGTTTTAACATCCTCACTGTCAGTACGTTCCACAACAGCCATTGCGAATGGAACATGTTTACCTTTCTTCTCTTGTGGACACACGAAGTGTCGAGGACACTACTAATAGTGGAGTCAAGGTCCAACTACATTGTATAGGATCATTTTACCTCGCGAAGTATTTTCCTTTGTAAGTTTCCTGTGATCATCCCGTGATCATTCCCGACGATCCCTTTGTGCACAATCATAACATACTGGTAGTATTTTTGCCACTGTATTAACCAACCATATTGACCAGTTAAAGCAATGCCGGAATGAACCCACTGGACCAAAAATCCGATGGACCAGTTCCAGTTCCAGCGGATATCAGAAAAATCAAAAATCAACCGTGCCCTTCTCGAGTGCATTAAGCTTTGCCATCACCACCTTCATTGTCTGGCCCATATTCTGCATTAGTAGATTGATGTGGGCTCAGTGAGAATTGAGACGGAGCTATCTGTGAGGCTAGAGGGTATTTGGGTATTGGAAGCTATATGAGCTAGTAGTACAGGAAAAGAGGATTTGAAACCACTTCAAAAACAATCCATGGCCATGTGGCTTCCCCTACTCCTCTAATTCTCAATATGTTCATTTGCCTAACATTTTTTTGCTAGCAAAACAACCCAACATTTTTCCAAAATTGAACAATCCACACTTTGGACGAGGACTTTAGTGGATGTAGTATGGGGTCTGTTAGAGGTAGAATACTAGGGGAGACGCATACGTCATCCCCAACTGCTCCTCCGGAGTAACCAAGGTCCCTTTCTGTGTTCTGGACTGATCTCGTCTTCATGATCGTGTTAGTGTTCCTGCTCCTTTCATATTTTAAATTTCTTGGATTCGATTTACAAATCAACTGTGCCTGTCCGATTGTATTTGGACTTGTAACGCTTATATACAGCTCGTAGATTACTTTGGTACTCTCAGATATTACACCCCGTTCGGTGTGTTCTGAGAGTAAGTACTTTATATTCTCTACTCTACCTGTAAGATGGCTAATCACATATAGTTATAGTACTTACTACTGTCTACAGGTAATTACTTTAATATAGGAGATATTACACCCCGTTCGGTGTGTTCTGAGATACTTACTACTGTCTACAGAGTCTGTTACTCAAACAGGGTATATTTCTCCCTTGGCAGTTATTACAGATAGATAAGGCTGTGCCAGAGTTGCACTCACTGCTAGTCTGTGAATCAAGGAGTTAGTCTAGATTTACATGTGAGTAAACAGAGAGGACCTTTGTGACCAATCTATTCTCCACTGACTTGCGAAATAAGTGTGTAGCGCATTCAATATTTGACGATCCCAATCGGGTGTTATATCGGAACCCATTGGAGTATGTATAGTGGTTGTCCCAGCTGAAGAGTCCGGTACTGCACCACATGTTGGGATTGGTTTGGAGAGCTCCTGCAGCAGGATTTCCAGGATCTGCTTGACCGTCTTCTCAAGTTCCTGCATCATCTGATCATCGATTCCGGATATTTCTGGAATTGACCATTGGTTATACAGCTTCCCATGGCACCCTCTTGTCCCAACGTGACAGAAGATATGAAGGAAAGTTTTGCACATAAAGCAGTTCCGCTTGCTACAACCCATGTATTGGAAAATATCCTCAATATGGATGTGGGATTGTAGTAGATGCTGAACAATCTGCAGCTCGGCATGAACATGAAGACTTTGCTTCTGCCGTTGATCAAACCTCTGCTGTGCATCTTGGATCGATATACGGGCCACGAATCTATGAACGGTGGTTGTGTTTAGAGGTTGACGGAGGAGATGGAAAGTGTCAGCAAGTTTGAGAGGAGGGGGTTTGCAGGGTGTGATAATTTTTGGAATAGGAAAGAATTCAAGCGAACAAAACCTGGGAATAGTTTGCGCGATCTCGCAAAAAGTAAGGTAAGCACGGCGAAATCGCGCAAGAAAGATGATCGATTTCCACAAGCATTTGCCGTTCTTGAGATAGTCTTGTATCATTTTCTGCGCTGAAGGGATGTCCCTAATTTGGAGTGCCAAACAACAAAGACGGTCAAATTTATTTGTACTACTTCTGTGTTCGATAGTGTCGAGGAAATCGTTCAATGTTTTCTTCATGTTTTCATCGCAAATAGTATTCAAGCTAAGCTGGTGATCTTTGCTGCTCACCCACGATGCGTAAACCCCGAGTCGAGGTGTGTTGTGTTTCAGAAGCAGATTCCACAATGAATTTTCTAAAAACACTGGTAGTAATGAGAATGTAATTTGATTTGAATAGTGGATATCGTGCCTGAGGCGGCTCGGTCATGGGTAGGACGTTGGATAATTGCAAGGGCACTCATCTTTGCAGAGAAACTACAAAGAAATGCTTTATCGTTCTCGTCGAGCCCGTCATTGCATGCTACCCAAACTTTGACATGATCCTGGTACTCTTTCATCGTCGTGCATGCTACATATTCAACCCTCTTATCTTTGGAAATAACCTCTGCGAGGCGATCCAGGAAACGCTGTTTAAGATCATCTTCAGGAGATGAGTCTGTTCTCTGTTTCACGCGAGGGTTACTCTGAGGAAAGTCGTTCCCGAATTCAGATGCTTGTTCTGAAGGAGGCTGTAGTTGACGCCCATTGCGTAGTGAAAGGAGATTGGTGAGAGCAATGAACTGACCCTTGTTCAGGCCGGGTGCATCCCAGGTAAATCGTGAGGACATTGTGAGTCGAGGAGTTGATGTGCACCTCATGGCTGTCAGTGAGAATAATATATAGCTTCTTGAAACTTCGGCTCGTGTTGATTAGTGAAAGAAAGAAGGAACTGCGATCGAGAACCTCCCACTGAGAAAGCAACATGGTATGTATATGGATTAAGGTTGCGGACAAAGTAAACCAGGAATGCTGCGGGAATGTACATCAAAAAGCTTAGCTGAGTCGAATGAAGGAACTTTGAAGAGGGATAGCCAATGCTGCGCAGTAACTTGCAACGATTTTACAGTGAGTATATGGAGGAACTGTGCACGGAGACTTTCTGCTAAAGAATCTTTTATGTGAGAACAAAAGACAAAGTTGAAAACTTCGAATACCATGGACACGGTTCTTACGAACATGCCTTCAAGGTTTGATTCGTTGTTTTATTGAATTCATAGAGTCCTTTGTGAGGAGATAAGGGGTGCGCACCATGAATTGAATCGAGAGTGCTTATCCTTACTCATCCTGAGCGGACCATGCAACTATCCTGAGGTCTGCTGTTTGTCTGAATCCGTATAGCATCCGTATGCGAACAGGTCGAGATTCCGGACTACCCTCTCGACGGACAAAAATACCCCATGGGCTTACATAGGGCTCTGAATGACTTTATGGATGTTCGGCTTGCCTTGAGGCACAAGAAGTTGAAGAAAAGAAAAAATGGATCACTGAGAAGAACAAAGAATAAGACTATTTTTCCAAAGAATTTGAACAGATTTCAACAGAGCTGAGAGTTTAACAGAAGGATTGAAGATGATGTTGTAGAAGTTTCCAAAGCAGACGGAAATCATGGTTCCAAAGGAATATATATTTTGTCAGATATGTTTTGGAAATCCGTGTTTATGGGCCGCTATGGACCGATCAAAAATCGCACCGTTGCGAAACCTACATAAAAGGTATTGAGAAGAGCAGTCTGAATAGAACTTGAAAGTCGGAACTGGCAGAAAAAAAACCCACAACTCATCAGTAAAGCATCCCGCACTTGGTATCCTATCGTGGTGTTCTGAAATCAAGTCACCAGCCCCTGGGTAATTATTCCTGTGTTCCCCCATTTTTTCCAAGATAGCATGCGACTGGCGAGATGAGTGGCATCGGCCGGCTAGCTCAGTTGGTTAGAGCGTGGTGCTAATAACGCCAAGGTCTTGGGTTCGACCCCCAAGTTGGCCATTGTTTCTTCTCTTTTTCTGTGCGGGTTTTTGTTTGACTGATTGATTAATTAATTGGTTGCATCTAGTGATATTATATTGGGATGTATACCTATAACATACCAGAACATAATATACCATACCATACCCTCCCTCCACTCATTATTACTACTGTACTGTACTGTGCTATTACTATTACCACTTGGTAAAAATCAAAACCAAAATCAAATCCCAAAATAAAGTATATTAAAATCCCAAAAGTATGTTAAAATCCCAAAAGTATCCGAAGTACCGAAAGTGAGACTAAAAGTAGCCATACAACTCTTCAAGAACTCGGATGACAGATACCAGATACATGTATATATGTTTAGAAAAAAAGAAAACTTGGATATATACAAGCTAAGTTGGGGTGATTACACAAGTGATTTACACAAAGTACAAGAATACAGACATTAGTACAAACACAGAAACGCGGTGAACTCCCTCTTCACTCTCCTGACACTCACTCCGATGTCCTCTTCACATTCACCCTAAATCACCCTAAGTCAACCTAATCCAACTACTCTCTACCACATTATCACTCGTTTCGCTCTCCTCACCACCAACATCTCCATCCTTTGTATCTACTTCTGTATCTGTATCCACTTCTGCATCTGTGTCTGTGTCTGTGTCTGCGCCTGCGTTGAGTTCACCAACACTAGTACTGGTATTACTATTGGCAGTACCACTACCTGGATTCGAAATCAAAACAGCGTTGGCGTTGGCGGGGACGATGGCGGAATGGGTAATACTCCCATTCCCACTTCCACGCATCAATGTCCCCTCTTGTTTCAGCTCCTGTTGTTGTTGAGGGTGATGCTGAAGGAATCCAATTGGAAGACTTGAGAAAGTTGGGAGAGTTGGCAGGAGGGTGTTATTGAAGAAGTTGCTGAAGTTGCGGAAGCGGAGAAAATGGGGGAAGTGGACGGACGAGTTGACTGTTGGGAGATGGTAGAGGGGGAGGAGGGGTCAGTATGATGGATGATGCTTTTAAGACGAGAAAATGAGAAGATGAAGAAGAGAAAAGAAGAAAGGACGAGAGAAGGGAACTGAAATGAATTGAATTGAAACAACACCCAAACGAAATCCGATGGAAAACGGAAAAACCAGAAGAAGGACAAGAAGGACAAGACAAGAAGGGTGAAGTAAAGAGTTCTCGAAACGAAACGAAATGAAATAGAGTGAAACATGATGGAATATGATATATGATGAGAATGAAGGAAGAACAAAGAACAAAGAACGAGAGAAGGAAACGAAATAAAACGCAGAAAAAAAAAACGAAATTACGATGCGAGACGAGGTGAAATAGAAACGAAATGAAAAATAGAGACGAGGATCGAAATGAATTAACGAAAAGCGAAAAACCAAACGGAAACGACGACGACAACAAAAAATGAATGAATGAATCGAAAGCGATAGGAAGGGACGATGTCGACGACGAAGAAAAACATATTAAAAAAACACTAACCTCTCCAACCGCTTACCCATTCACATCCACCTCTTCCAGATCTTACACGTACATATCCCTTCTTGCTACCCCACCAGCTCCTCCTCCATCCAAAAACGATCCCGAAAACGTTTCCAACTGTGCTGAACCATCCGAATCCGTGGCCGTATCGGCCATTACTCACTACACCAAGTATAGTTTGAACGAATGGGGTTGAGTCAGGAGTCGGAGGCGGTGGAGGAAGGAAAGTTGAATCAAGAGTCGGGTTTGAGATGGAAGTATGAGGAAGGGGGGAAGAAGAAGAATGAGAAGTAAGAGAAGAACTTGAAGTAGGAGGGGAAGAAGTCGAAGTCGAAGTCAATGAATCAACAAAGGCTTGTCCATAGGTAAGTTTTTCTGATGGAGTCCAATTTTCCATGGCTTTGTATATATCTTCTGGGTGAATCGTAGGAATAGTCGGAGTAGGGGGAGCACCAAAAACCCCCTGATTATCACCAAGAACACCAAAAATCTCATCGTCAACATCAACAACAACAACTGTAACATTTTTCATCCCTTCCGACTTGCCCTTCTCTGCAGCAAGTTCGATTTCCATGCGTAAAGTTTGAGCAGCTTGTAATGTGCTAGAAGTTGTCATATTCTGGACACCTTCAAACACCCCTCCGTCGGCCCTTCTCGTCGAAACACAAACAACGACGCTTTTGGGATTCCCAGCATCACTTGGAACATGGTTGGACCGCATCAGCGGGAGAAGGGATTGAATAATTTGAAGAGGGATTATTTGGGTTTGAGTTAGGTGGGAGATGTAGGTTGTTGGGAGGGAGATGTGTTCGAAGGGAGCGTATGTTGGAGGGATGGGGGAAGAGTTGGGAGGGGGGTTAGAAGAAGAAGAGAGAGGATGGGAAGAGGGGAAAAAGGAATGGAAAGTAGGAAGAGTCAACAAAGAAATAACGGAATGTATATATGGACGATTATTGAATGACACATATGGATCACCTGCTCCGTTTATTGGAAATCGTCGATCCAGAGTGGATGCTACAGCTCTTAGGAAATTTTGTACACCAATTTCCATCCCTCCTGGATTGGTACTCAATACAACACTCTGAACAAACCCACCAACCTCTTCACCTTGACCTTCACTCCGACACAACCCTTCCAAAACTCTCCCCTCTTCTACACTTCCCACAGATACTATAACGATATACGCATGTTGTTCTAAGGATTTGATTAGGGCAACACAGGAAGAAGAGGTAGATCCACCGAGGATGATTGTAGTTTGCCGACGGGGTGCGCTTTGATGTTTTTTGTGTTGGAGGGAGTGCAGATGGAAAGGATGAAGATGGAGTCGTCGTCGTCGATGTTGTTGTTGTTGTTGTTGTTGATACCCAACAACACCAATACCTACACCTGCTACTAAAACACATCCACCAACAACAATCCACGGTCCCCATCTGTCTACCCAACTCCCTTTATCCATTGCCACCATCGGTAGAGGAGGAGGAGGAGGAGGAATCTCGAAATCTCCTAATCCAATTCTACTTCTCAAATCTTTCACATCAACTCCATACCTCCCAACATCGCCCCAAAACATTTCCATACTCTCTCTAACACTCTCTTTCAGCCCAACGGATTCAAGCGAAGTTGAGATGTATTCTGCAAATGCTGTGAGGTAGGCGTTGAGGTTGTCCATGGTTTGTAGTTGTTGGCTTATTGAGTTATATAAGTTGTTCGAGGTAATCGATTACTTGGGTAGGTAAACGAAAACAGCGAGCGGAATCAGAGACCGTCGTCGTTGTTGGCGTCCTATATCCTCGTCGTTTCGGCCTACGTTCTAGGTCCAGGTCCAGGTCCTAGTCGTCGTTCACAGCAAGTAATATTGGACACGTGATATATCACAATCAAACTCCCACCTGCTGATCCCGAGTCTTCACAGATAGGCCTTTATATTTACTCCCAGTGATTATCCGTGATTCCCAATAACTCTCAGTTATTCCCCGTAAAAGAAAAGTCCTGCTTCCAGATTCGGAATTCTAAGGTCTCATTCCGAGGTCTCATTTCAGTGAATTCACAGAACAGCAACTCCTGATGGCTCTCAAATCAAATCAGGTCACAGTAAATCTGTTGTTGGATTTACCTTTTCTGTATTTGTTTTTGTTTTTGGCAAAACAAGAATTAAGAAAAGAAAATATGTTTTTCTTTTCTTGTTTTGTTTTTGTGTTGATCTCTGATATTTTCTGTTTTTTTCTAATATTCCTGTTCATCAGATGGTAGATGAATATATGTATCACCGCATGCAAATTCCTATAACTTACCTTACCTTATGTTAAAATCATGATAAATCAACAGGAAATTTTTTTCCACAATAATCTTGAGTTATTTTAATCCAATTATAAAATTATCCTAAACCAAAAAAGACTCTACAATCCATTTACTTAGTATAGTACATGGTAATTGATGATAAACATGTTTTGAATATATCTTATACACTTTACTGTAAACAAAAAACTAACTTATTGCAACTATGATTAATTATGGAAAAATACATGTTAGATGATTGTGTACTTATTGAAAGCTCCAAAATGAACTTGATTGAAACATTCTCTAGTTATTCATAAGAGATAGTATTGCAAAGTATAAATTCAGAATAACATGGAATCATTACTCCAACTTTTATGAAAATATTGTATTCAATCAATATAAATGAGCTTATATATAGTAAAGCTTCTGTCAATTAATATACAAGTGCAATAGAATAAGTATTTTGAAATCTTGGTTTCATTATGTTGAAGAAGGTGTAAATTTGTATTAAATTTATTGTATTTGTATAGTTTGATTTGAATATATCAGTATAGGCCAATGAAGATACTATAACAAAAACTACATTATAAAGTATGTGTAGTTGAAGGAATTTATGCTATAAATATAATAAAGTGATCTTGAATTTATCATAGAAAAATTATAATAATCACAATGTTATTGCACTTCTTTATATTGAAAATATGCAGATGTATTATAATACTATAAGTAATATCAATTAGTACATCTCAATATAACTTCACAGTGAGGTTGCATCAATTGATTTAATATGATAGATTCTTGGTATCTATATCTTATCAAGCTGTCACACACATTGATATTTCTATTCAAGAAACTTAAAAATTACATCAATATTTGCAATTTTTAGTATACTATAATCCTAACACAACTATAGTAAAGTTATGCTAAAATGTACAAAAACTATGACACACTTATAGTAAATCACAAATAACTCTTTTGATTTGAAGATTTGAGAGCTTCCTAGAGAATCTAGCAACTCAGAGCTTCTTCAAATTCTTAGAGTTCTGAGATATCATGAAGTTCCCTGAGTTCCAGAGGTTCATAGAGTTCTCAACGCTCAAGGATTTCCTGGAGTTCCTGGAAATTTTAAGCATCATGGATGTCCTGAAGTTCCTAGAGTTCATAACAATCTGAAGCTTCATGGAGTCCTGGAGTTCAATGAATTTCCTGAAGTTCCTGGCAATCATGGGCTTCATAGA